ACTGGGGAGCCAATGTCACATACTAAATTATTCCAGGTGTTGTTTCAGCCCCTGACACATGTTGTCTTCTTTATCTTCTTGAAACCCTATGAGAAAGCTACCATCGCTATGTCCATTTCACAGGTGAGACGACTGAGTCAGTCAGGTGCAGAGGCTTAGCTCAAGCCTCTCTCCATCCACAGTCCCTCTTTCTAAACTGCTCCATTCTGCTCTCCTGCTGGGCCCTGAGCTGTACTGCTGCCCACGTTCAATGCTTATGGGAGGATGCGATCTACTTTGGTTTTGAACATGAAGGAACCTTTCCAAAACCATTCTGTTTTGTATTTGTAAAGGCAGTAGCAGTTGCAGGTAACTTTTCCTAGTTAAAACAGCCCTTTGGACTTTCTGGTGTTCTTAGAACTGCACAAAACTATTTTATGTCAGCTGTCTTTGAACTCCTGTCTGCTGCCCTGGAACTCCCCGTGACACACACAAGCAAAGGCTTGCTTAGCCTTGCCCACCTGCCAAGCCTCATGGCCTCTTGTACGTTGGGGCTTTTATTGATGTGAAATACTGTGGGGCCTATTGTTCACAGGAACCCAGGACTCTGATTCAGAGCCAATATCCTCCAGTACAGTAAAACATGCTAGTGGGTCCTAAGTAATGGTCTTATTATGGGGTGTGGAAAGGGATAAGAGAGAGAAAGAGAGAGAGAGAGAGAGAGAGAGAAGGAGGGATCTAACTTGGAGGAAATCTACTCCTGGAGAAGAATGTATATGTTTTCATAGAAAAGATTATTTATTAAAAGAGCCATCGTTTTCCTGTGGTCTTTTCCTGAGTCCTTGTTTGCACTGTGGGTTCACCTTGCTCTGATCTGTTTCATCTTTAACTTGCCTTCTGGGACTTGTATTGGGTAGTCACACACCACCACCCTGAAAAACCCCCAGTGTAACCAAGATGGAACAGAGTTGTAAGGTTGTCCTTGTGCTGCCATATTAGTCAAGAGCAGGTTAACTGCCATAGCTGATAATACCAAAATCTCAGTGTCAACACTGTAGAAATTTGTGACTTTATCACATCATGGGCCAATCAATGCAGGTAGGTATTCCTCCTCCAGGTGGTGACTCACAGACCCAGGCTCCTTTCAGCTTTTTGACACCACCATCTGTCAGGGGTTGGGGTGGGGGTGGTGGGGTTAGGAAAAAGAGATGAAAGGTTGCCCCTGGGGGATTTTCAGGGGCCAGGGGCTAGGGAGTGGACTCTGTTACTTCTGTCCACCTTCCATTTGCCAGAAGTAATTGTTAAATAGCTGGGAAATGTGCCCCCACGTGCTCTGTTACTTTTGCAGTACATCCATTGAATTCTACTGAGTAACCCATGAGCTGGAGTGATCTGTGGAGACCTGAAAAGAAGCTGTCCCTTTGGAGTAGGCCAAGAAGAAAAGTTTCAGAAGGTAGGGCTGTGGGTTTGGTCATCCACCTGGGCCCCAATGACTGCGGGAGTGGGTGTTTCGTGAATGTTTGCTGAACGCAGAAACGAGCGTACATCATTAGCATTCTTTAATGTGGCAAGAGTCTTTCTTGAACTTCCAGAAAACCATCACCTGGCCTTCTCTTGGGCCGCCTACACTGGATGCTTTATGTATTTCTGCCACAGCGCCTGTAACGCTTTGCTGCCCTTAGTTTCACTTCTGATTTCCGCTACTGGAATGTCAGCTCCTTGTTGCAGGGACCTTGTCTCGTTCATCTTCGTAGCCCCAGCCCCTTCCACAGGGCCTGGCATGGGATGTTCATAAATAAATGATTTTCTTACAGGGTTAGAAATTTACTATTTTCACATCAATAAGTTACCCTCTATATTAAACACATGACCTAAAAATGAAGCTATTTATTCTGTCACTTTATCAATGATAAATATGAGTGAGAAGCAGCATGAAGTGGTGGGTAAAAGGGGCTTCTGGGCTGGACAGAACTGGGATCGAATCCTGCTTCTATCATTTATACCCCAGTACTTGTTATAATTTACTTAACCGACCTGCTTGTCCATTTCTTCACTGTTAAATGGACATTCTGAAGAAATTAAGGAAATATGCACAAAAAACAGCTTAGCACATTCAGAAAAAACACCACCATTACTCAGGGTGTCAGGTATAAATGCCTAAGACAGAAGCCAGGCTCTGTTTAAAGCTCTGGACAGCTTTAATTTAATTATTAAGTTTCATGCCTTGGGCAAAGGCATGTACATGACACCTGCCTTTTTACCAAAATGGTGAAGTAGATTTTGGCTTCAGGTCTATATCCATGAGAAGTATAGACTCATACATCCTTAAGGTTAGTAAGGTTCAAGGGTGTATAAACAGAAGACGGAAATGCTTTCTGACAAATGAAGGTACAGGCTGCCTTGTAAGGTAGCAATTCCATGTACCGGAAATGTTCAGTAGAAAAGAATTAGCCAGGGAGGTGGGTGAGGAGGGTCCCGGATGCTTTGGGTGGGAGAGTAGGCTAGCTTGATACAAAAAGACTTGACTTGCGTTTTCTTGGTCCTTCCAAAAACAACACTATGATTCCATAATGTAGTTTTAAAAATCAGCCTATAGCACCATTTTTACTTAGCGTAGTGCCTAGGATATTGCAAGTGGTCAAGAACTCTTTCACCAGTCGATTGAGTCATTCAATGAATGACTGAATGAATGAATGGCTTCCTTTGCTCCAGGTTTTACAGACCCATTTTCCCCAGATATTGTTACTATGGCCTGTTGTTTTCAACATCCCTTAAGGGTTCTAGTGACTCTATCCTGGTCAACCTTCAGCTTGTTAACGACCCTCTCCTAATACAATGCCCAGAGCTAAACATTATGCTCCATCTTGAATCGAGCGACCCACTAGGATCAGGCCTTGTGATAAACATCAGCTGAAACTGAAAACAAAAATCCTGCCGTTCTGGAAGGGCCAGGCCTCAGAGATGTCATGGCTTAAGTTTCCTTCAAATGCATCCAAGAGGGGCTGTTAAAAGCAGGGGTTGAGGTTTACAGTTTTCACATGTGTTATGTTTTTGTTGCTTTATAATCCCTTTGGCCGAAGTGGATGTTGTGTTCAGTCCTGGGCATGGCCTCTGGACTCTGAGCCTGTGCCAAGTACCAGACTAGAGATCTGTGAGCTAGGAAACGAGCCAGCTCATTTGAAGCACATTACATCAGACATTCCCCGAGGTGGAGAGGAAGGCCTCCTTGCTAGAAAGCAGGGAGGATTTTGGCTCTTAGAGATTGGATTCAGTAACTTTAACCCTTTGGCTAAGGGCCAACCCTCTAGTGAGCAGCTATCATATGGTCTGCAAAAAATTCAGATGCAAAGCTGCCAGCCCCTGCTTTACATGTTGACACCACAGCCTTCTTTGAACAAAACACACCTTTGGTGGGGGGGGGCGGGGGGGAGAGTGTGTGCAGGGACAGCTTTTAGAAAGAGAGAGACATTATAAAATCTGATTGATGATTTTATGAGAGATTAAATAGGTTTCCTAAGAGATTGTTTTAAAATCTTACATAGTTTTCTAATTTTAAATTTTATTGGGGGTGGGGGCAATGTTGACTTTGTAGTGGAATATTGTAAACCCTGAATTAGAATGCTGTCCCCCCAACAATGTTGTCATTCATCACTTTCCTTTTCAAGTTAACTAAAATTATATGATGTGCAGTGATGGATATATTGGTGTTAACTATTAAATTTATGAATCAGACCCGAATGGAAGTTTTTCAACTAACTTCAGAAATTGACTTTGTACCATATATGGTGCCCTCTGCACCATATAGGCTATTATGAACTGCCTGTGTGAATGTCTCTGTGTTCAGTAAAAAAACACTACTGAGGTGATTTAAAAAATGAATCAATAATACAGAGGTCCTGGCAGCTTCTCCTCTGAATGCTCCAAGTTGAGTCCCAGGGTAGAAATTAAGCTGGTTAGAGTGGCCTTATGGTCCATAAAGAACAAGATCGACAGCACCTTTGAGCAAATGAGCATTTCGGACGCACCTTATACCTACGAACTCTGGAGGTATTAGTAAGTCTTTCTATAGTTTATTGACTGAAACTCAGGAGAGATAATATCCAAAGTCATCTGTCCAGATTAAAGCCCAAGTCTCCTGACAGACTGAAGCTTTTCCCATCATAAGCTCACAAAGCGAGGGCACCGGTGTACAGTGAACAGTGTCGGAGAGGCTGAGGAGCGAGACCCTGAAGGAGGGACCCAGGCAAGTGCTTTAGTGTGACATTGTTCTGGAATCTAAACTCTGAATCTTCAGTCCAAAGTCTGGATGCTTCATCTCCTCTTTTAGGAAAATTGATCTGGTACTATTTGATCCCTACCTTGAAGGGGTGCTCAAGAAAAACGTGAAATATTTATGAAGCGCTTTAAGTTTCAGGGGAAGTAATATTCCAGGCTAGAATATTGGAAATGCATTCTGGCATACCCATGGATCTTATTGGCTCAGCCAAGGCTGCACACTATCCTCCTGACCTGTCCATGAGTGAAAATCTAAGAATGTCACCTCCCCTTTGCTGTGTGTGTTCCTGAGAGTGGAGTGATACAATATTAACATGCGCAAGAAGGGAAGTAAAGGGGTGGGAGTGAGAAGAGGAAGGGGCCGCTGCGAGGTGAGAAGGGGAGGTAAGGGAGGTGAATAAAACTGACAATGCCTGAGGAGCCCAAGCTGTTAACCTGCAGGCTGTGGGCACCCTCTGCCATTCCCCCTGCAAGGTGAACCTGAGACTCCCTGGCCAGGACTCACAAAGAACTGCGCCAAGGTCTGCTATGGCCAGCTCTTCTCAGTGACGAGAGACAGTGGGGTGCAGAGCTGTTCATTTGGCATTCGTCACCATTACTAAGGTCACTGATAAAATATTAAACTGATCCTATGTACATGGCTTCATGAAGATGGTCAGGAATGGAGGGAAGCCCGGGCAGTGGGCAGTGATCAGATATACAGAGGAGAGCAGAGCCTTCGGAAGCACAGGACAGCCACACCGCCACAGCGAAGCAGTCAGCTTGTGTTTACTCTCAACTCGAAACATTTTCCCTTGCATGTCCATCCCATGACCTCTCATGTCTCAGGAAGGGACACAAAGTAACAGGCCTCAAGATGCCATCAATATCCATTTTGACAGTGTTCATGTCACAATACACAATCATGTACTGTAATTATACAAAATCTAAAGAATAGAATACAATGTTACGAGTTACAAGGGTTAAAATGAAACTGACGACCAAAAAAACAAAAACACAAAAGCAAAAAGAAATCCGTTGAAATTCATAGACACTTGACAATATACCAAAAAAAAAAAAAAAGCCAAATAATTGTCCTAGCATGCTGCAGTTCACTGCCATAATGCCGTCACTTCATAAATTCCCAGCTCTTTGGGGGAAACAAAGTGTGTTTTCACAGCCTGTGTAGTTCTCAAAGACGTGGTTTTCGCAGGTATGCAGGTCAACAGAAGAAGGAATGCACGGCCTGGGCACCGAGATTGCTCAGACAGCAGTGGAGTCTGAAGAGTCGGACTGCAGACTCTTCTGAACCAGACCTGGTTTGTTGAAAAAGAACCTGGACGGTGACATGTGTCCAAGAGGGCCAAAGAAGAAACACTTAACTGTTAATAAGAAAACCATCAAGAACTAGAACAATTAAGACTTAAACTTTTTTTCTACTCTACTTTGAAGCTGAATTACAGCTTCTCATATTTGGAAAAGATAGGTGTTTGATCTGTGGGTAGAACCCTTCTCTCTTCCCCCGCCCACCGTCCCTACTCTGGGTCCAGCGGCTTAATGTTGAAGGACAGATATTGCTTGCTGGTTCAGTTTTCTTGAAGTAGAAGGACCGTTTCTTCGTATGTGGCCATGCCTCTTTTTAACAACGAGGTATAACTTTATACTAACAATGCCTCTTCCTTCCTGGGCTATGGGCTTAATCAATCGTGTGGGCAGAAAACAATTCAACTTCCTGATAAAATCACATACATACAAAAATTATTGCACTTAAAAACAACAACAAAAAGTACTCAGCCCAACCAGCGAAGGGCCAATGAAACTCTTCGGAAGGGGCTGTGTTTCCCGTCCTTTGCACCTTTCTGGTGTTCAGTTGGATTTGGTCCGTTATTAAATGTCCAGAAGTGAAAGAATCCAAAAGACACTGTAGGCTCTTTAAGGCTAAGTCTTCCTGGTGCTTCTATGAGATAAATTATCTCCTTGGCCACATATTACAAAGCAGGGGCTCCTTTTAGCAAAATGGCTAGCAGGCTCCCCCCCAAAAAAAAAAAATACTCAGGAAGCAAGGGAGGATGGGTGCACATCCTGTCCTCTCCTGTGAAAGAGAGAGAGAGAGAGAGAGAGAGAGAGAGAGAGAGAGAGAGAGAGACAATAAGCAGCCTGGGAGGGCAAAGCCACACATCAACAGCCCTGAGGCTAGAAGGACAGACTTCCACCTGACTCCACCAGCTCTCATTACATTCAGCCCCACAGCCCAGGTGGACTTGGGTTTATCTGCGCATCTTTCTCTGCATACCTCTTTTCTGTGGATCTGAATGTCTTCCCTTCTACCTGCAAACTTGTCTCTTATTCTGTATCCTTCCTTCGTCCTTGCGATTTGTGTCTCTTTCTTGATGGATGTAAAGGCACAATGCTATTGATAGTTCTATCCTGCTACCCACTGGTCCATATGCTATTTCTCCCACAATGCACCCGTCCTCTCCCCACCCTGTCAGTGGTTCTCCTCACTCAGTATATTCAGATACATTCCACACTGTTTACTGAGTTGAATGAGTGGATTACTTGTTACTTCAGCCAAGAGTATTGACACCTCCAGAATCTGATATTCTAGTCAAAATTTGAGCATATGCCATCGAATATGTTACTAATGTTTTAGTGAAATTCTCAAGTGAGCACTCAAGGCATTTCTAGATTCTGCTATCCTGAACTTCTGTCAATATTTTCCTATTTGGGGTGTCGACTTTAGCTCATGTCTTCTTTGTAACTCCTTTATGACCCTTTGTAATCAATAAAATATTTGCACAAAGTACCTACGGAAGGTGCTAAAAATGTATGCACATTTTAAGAAAGGAAAACTGTATTAAAATTGTAATACTTAATATATACCAAAAAAAGGTTAATATAAATCACATTTGACTTCTGCAATTACAAGAGATGCTCAAAGTATTTATCGTCAGCATCCAGATGCTTCTGATTACGGCAAACTACTGCTTGAGCAACATTGACCAAAGTGTCCACTTGTATACATTGTTTTGGCAACCCGGGTAGATAAATAGGGTGGATGGTAATATCCTAATGTTGCAGGCACAGAGCCAATATCAGAATAATTTAAGGTTCAGGGTGGAAGGAATGAAGGTCAAATCATCATGAGCTGCCAAAGCTCCTTCATGTGACACCAACCAACCAAGGTGCACTGAAGTTCTAGGATCTGCTACAGTTTTTATCACTTCCTTTGCCCATCTCCCTGAGACCACTTTGTTGGGGCCAGACAGTACAAATGGCTTCTGCTGCCTTTTTTTGTATTCTATCATGTCCCCTCCCATTGTTCAAAGACCATGCCCCACTATGGGCTCTTCCTTACTTACTGCTCCAGATTGTGAACTAGGACTTGCTAACATTCTCATAGATGACGTCACTGATGCAGAGCTGCTGCCTTTTCTTCATCCACATCATTTGCACACACTGGTGGATAAAAATGTACTGCTCCTGGAGCAAAAGACAAAACTAGGTTTCAGAGCAAGATATTTTTGTACAAATATATGCAAAGATACACTATTTTAATACGATGACATTATTAAATATAATGATCTGATGTCAAAGAAAATAATTTTCATTATTGATGAGATAATTTTATAGCTAGAAGATCCAAGAGAATCAACTGCAAAAATGTTTTGAATAAGAATAGCGCTGAGACCATCATTACTTAGTGCTAAAGGCAATGAATATTCAATCCATAAATCATGGGGCTATTTTGAAAATAAAAAGTCTGTCACTTCATAATACACCAAAATAAATTTCAAGAAGTTAAATAAATTAAGCCATAATAAAAACAACAAAAAAGGAAAATATAGGTTAATTCCTCTCTGATTATTTTAAGAAAGGATTTTCTAAACTTCAAAACAGTGGAATTAATTACAAATAAAAAGTTCAAACTACTATATGAAAAAGAATAAGTGAAAAGAACAAAATAAAGAGCAAATCAGAAACTGGGAGAAAAAATATTTTCTAAAACTATGACAAAATGTTGATACTTTTATTTTTGTTTAAAATTAATCCAAAGCGGTAATGCACACACTTAAATTGACAAATATATAAATAAAAGACATCAACCACTAAACCAAATCAACCTGGAATGCACTGTCTTTTTTATTCATAATGCCTAGCACTTAATTTGTGCTTACTAAATGTTTTTTGAAGGAAACTGAAGAAATATTAAAACATATGCAAAAAATGGCCAAGTAATCAAAAATGTAAATTGAAACAATTGTTTTTTCCTATAAAGTGAGCAAAACTAAAGGAAAAAATAAAATTCAATGATAACTTGAGTTTGCTGATGCAGTCATTTTTAGCTGTCATTGGTAGAGGTATAATAAATAAAGTTCTAATAAATGACATTGTGGATACAGATAATAGTAAAAAAGTGGAAAAGAATACAATTTAATGTCCTATAAAAAAGGAGAATGGTTTAAGTAATCAATGGTGTATCTATAATCAAAAACTATTCAGTCTTTTAAATGAGATTTATATAGTTTTGGGCAAAAATAGCAAAAATGTTAAGTGAAAAATTAGAATTTAAAGTTAGCATATGTATGTATAGCATATGAGCATAATTATGTGAAAGTTGTAATTGAAGGAAGGCTTAGGTGAAATATGCCAAAATATTGAGAGTAGCTGTCTGTGTACCATAAAATCAAGGCAGCTGCATGATTCTTTCTTTTTTCATTATATCCCAGACTTTTCTATAAGTAATACCATTAGAAATAACTTTTAAATAAGAACCAGTCAAGGTATCCATAGGACCTTAATGAACTTTTTGCATGACAACTTTATCACAAAGGATAAAGTTAATACTTCAAAACTTACTGGGTTGATTCCTTAGTTTAACCTGTATTTTTCAGTAAGATTTAGAGAAAAGATATGCCTTTATTATGTGATAGTATCACAATAACTGAGCTACCCCTTCTTATTAAACATCACTCCATTGTTTCCTGTATTTTGTCAGGACTGGGCATAGATAAGGCCAGAGACAGCCTGGTTTCTCAACCCAGAACGACTCAGTGACCAAACTCTGGGTCAAAAAAAAGTAGCCAGACCTCAGGAAAAGTAAATAAAGACTGTTTGCGGCCAGGTCCCTGAGAGTTCCTGAGCAATCTAACCTGCCCATCAGGAGGAGGAGCTACTCAGCAAATCCCTAACTGACCTCCAGGGAAAGCCTATTAGAGGAAAATCAAACAAAACATTTGATAAAAATAGAAGACAGCCCCAGAGAGGCGAAGGTCATCCATAGTAGCACTTTATGGCTTCAAAACACTTAATCAGATTTTATCATTTCATAGAATGTGTATTTTACTGCAGTAATGAACGTTGTAATTCACATTTTACAGATGAGGAATGCGGGTTGTGAGAGGCAAAGTGAGTTGTGCAGTGGCCATGCTGGGAGTCAGGCCTTCTCCTGGGGTCTGGTCTGATGACACCTACTTTCTTTAACTACACTTTGCTGCTCCAGTGGACTGGCCCATAACTAGGGGGTGGGGGTTCTAGTCAGGTGAGAAAGAGGAAGAGGGCACATTAAAAACAACCCATGCAGGGCCGGCTGAGTGGCACGCTGGTTGGGAGCTAGCTTGGGATGCCAGCTCTGAGCAGCAGGGCCCCGGTTCGGATCCCACATGAGGGCCAGTGACGCTGCACCCTGTACAGCTAAGATGCTGAACAACAGCTCAATCTGGAGCTGGGCTGTGGTGAATCGCTGGCGATGGCGTAGGCTGCAGTGGGGCTGGCTGGCAGTGGGTGTGCGCTTTCGTGAGCTGCCTGAGCCGCCATGAGCTGCCGTCCAGAAGCCGGCAACTGATGTGCCTCACCTGGGAAGAGCGCAATGATAATACCAACATGGGCCGGTGAAGCGACGTCCTCCACAACCAGACTAAAGAACAAAAGGACAGCAACTTATCTGTTCCCCTTCCCCAGTTCCCCAATAAAATCTTTAAAAACAAAACAAAACCCATGTAGCTGGTTGCAATGACCTGAAATGTGCATCTGAGGATATGACCAATTTAATCAGTTACTTTATTTATTTTGTGAGAGGGGGCGTGGGAGGATGAGGTCTCCTAGAGCCTGAGTGAGGCTATGCATTCTTCTACTTGTGCCAGAGGGCTGGAAGCACTTAACCTTTCCCACCATTTTTAGAGGGGGTTTGGGTGGTAGAATCCAGGTGATGGGCAGTCAAGAGGAGGTAGGAAAATTAGAAACCAGCCACAGGAAGAAACCTGGTACATAATACACAGGTGGTTGATATATAACACAGAGTCAGAAGTCAGCTGGAGAATCATTCTGGCCTCTTGAAAATCATTACCAGTGTTAAAGGGGTTCTCTGGGATGATAAAGCTGAAGGAAATAATGTTTTACTCTGTTCTTTACTTATTAATACCAGTAAAGTAGAAGGCAGCAGGACTGGCATGTGAATGGGCTCAAGGAGGATGTTTAGAAAATCCCAACATTCAATATACAAGTTGTATCACGAAGAGTATAATAACAAGGAAAAACAAAGGTAAATGGACAAGATGTTCCAGCCATAAGTAAATAACTCAAAGTAGGGAACGTCCACTGTAAAATCCTGAGGGAACTCAAGAGTGAAGCTGAAATGTTGGAAATGTTGGGAACTAGTAACCTATGGTGACCTCGCCTCTTTTGCTGACTTTGACTTTTCCCATGAGAGTTCAGGGAAGGGATATCATACTTTAAAAAGACTGTTTTCCTGGAGATGCCAACCTAAAATGCTGCTGTAAACCAGGAAGTCAACCAACCAAAATTTGAGGCAAGAAAGTGGGGAGAAAACAACATTTTTGTCAGGTTTGCAGAGAGGCACATGGTGGCTGCTGTAGTTTTGTGTGATTACCACACCAGAAGAAAGATCATGGCACTGAATTGGATGGAGGGTCTGCCATGTGAAGGTAGTATTTAAAAAGGGATAAGATTCTGTACTGGGAAAGTCGAAAGCGAACAGGCTATAATCAAAGTCTATAAAGTTATAAAAGGTATAAATTAAGTCAATGTGGCAGATAATTTATCAAACTATAAATTTATAAAATAAAGAGTGGCTCTTTGAAGCTTGGGGATTAATAGACATAATGGGGAGTTTTAATCACATACTAGGATGTAAATTTATGGAAGTGAAAGCCAAAATATGGACCGATTCATAAAGCACTGTTTAATCATTAGGTAGTGGGTTTCACTGGGAAACTAGGACATTTTAAACGTATGATAAGAAGGCAATGTCCACAGCAGTAAATTACAAGGCAGCAGGACTGAGATGTGAGTGGGCTGAGGATGTAAGGACACAAATACATGACTTCTTCTTAATCAACCATGAGACATCTGAATGTGGATGGGTTACTCTTTCCAAAGTGGTATGATCCTGCTTTGGCTCAGGAATAAACACGTTGGAACGTCTGTGCCAAGCCTTGATCAGATGAGAACGGGGAGGCAGGACAGAAAAGCCAAAAGGGCCTAAAGGAGAAACACCAGAGGCATTAAGAGACGGCAGCCAGGGCGGCCGCCTTTTTGAGTTATACTGACATCTAGTGGTGATTCATAGGAAAAGCATGAGGAAGACCAAGGCAGTTTTTAATCTCTCAGAACTTGAGTCAGAGCTCAGGCCAAGCTGTGTTTTACTCTCTTCCTCCCACACACACTCCTTGAAAAAAAGGGATTGTTGTATGCCTGAAGCTAAGAAACCGCGAGTATGGCTGGGTGACTAGGATTATGAACAAGCTATTGTGCTTAGGTTTTGGGGCCCACACTGGTACACACACTGCCGCTCTGAGGCGGTGTGATGCTGTCTGCTGGTTCTGGCCCAGACTGCCGCTCCAGCCCGAGTACATTCTGAGATTTCAAGAAGGGAGGAGAGGACTTGGGAGAAGAGGAAGAGGAAGGAGCAAAAACCACTGCTGGATATTTCTGGGGATGCTCCCATGTTGTTATAATGTTAAATAACATTAAATTAGATCAAGAGAACTGTCAGTGCTGGTAGGTTGGAGGCTGGAAATCCTGAAATCAGAAAGAGGACAGAAAGCATAAATCCAACCCATGATTATCACCCAAAGTGAAGTGGAACAGAGAATCACATGGAGGACAAACTAATGACAAGTTTTGAGCCAATTATAGCATTTAGTATTAGTTCCACAGTCTCTACTTGGTGGCATTTACCCAGGCTGGGTTTTACCTGCACCAAACTCTCACTCTGTTCAAAGAGGTTTTATTCTATTATAAATATATCGATGTGCTCTGAATTATTAAAGGGCATATGATGCTAGTAACAGTGCAAGTACTATACAGTGAATAGGTTTCTAGAAGCTAATATCTATTTCCTTTATACCTTGAAGCAGTTTAAACACGCACAATAAGAGGCTGGGGATAGCAGATGCAAAAAAGTTTTAAGCCGATTGTATTGAAACATTAGATGAAATAATGGGAAGTTTTTTCCAGTCAAGGACAAATGTAAAGATACATACTAATGACATTCCTACCTCTGTCTGGACCATGGACATCCGGTATGACCGCATTTCTGACACAAGCCCTAAGATGTCCACAAACTCATGATCCTGAATGTGCTGTAAGAGCCTGTCCAGGGCGATGAATGTTCCCGTCCGGCCGACCCCAGCGCTGCAAGAGTGTTCAGACAGCACATTACTCAGACAGTGCTTCTACACTGTGGAAAACAAACTGGTGATTTAAAAACACCAACTCAGGTAGTACCACTGAGAAAAATGAAGACTAAACTCCTGGCGGTATTTTCTACTTAACTGATTTTTTTTAAGCATGCAATTGTGGTAGGTGTGTCTTCTAATGTCGTATTTCTGACTAGAACTGCTACTTCCCTTACAGAGGTTATGGGGTCTGCACTGCCTCAGCCATAACCTACCCTGCTCTGCCTGGGTCTCCCTGCTTCCTGAGGAAAGTGATGATTCCATATGCAGCCAACTGGTTGGTTCCTGCCTTCAGGGAGCTGAGACACATACACAAGTCTAGTCTTCTGAGTAGCCTCAGAGTTAAGCCCTCACACCCAGCTCAGAAGTCTTGTTGAGATGCCTACATCCTGGGTGTAGCTCTGAGGCCTAGCAATTTGTGTGCCTTCAACCCTGAGATGAGTTCACCATCTCAGACTTTCCTTACAGCACATCTGTCCTTCTAGTGAATTCTGAGCCTGCTTCAATCTCCCAGTGATCTTCTAGGTAGTTAGTTGCCTCCAAATCAAATTTTAATATTTGGACCCCGTCTCTTCCAGTCTCCAAACCCCAGGGCTCAGAGAATAGATTTGCACTGACCAATTGCCCACCACAATTTTACATGTGAAAGTCAGCTCTTCTTTTCTTCCAATCACTCATAGACTGAAGTTCCAAGTGGTTCCAAACTCTGAATTATGATGAAATATGAGGAAAAAGGAAGTAAAAACTAATTTACATGCAGAATTTGCTGTGAGAGCAATCCAACAGTAAAAGCCTATAGTTCAAAACCCTAGTTTGCTTTTCCTACTTAACAACCTTCCCCTCCTAGGATTTATCTTCTCAGATAAAATGTTCTGCCCCTGGGTAAATACCTCTAAAGTCACATCCAGAACAGTCCCTGCTACCTGCTGTGAAAGGAACCATTAGTTTGACCACATAGTTGAGCAGCTCTATTTTCTGCTCTTGGAAGGAACTGTGTGATATGAGATAATTTCATCTGGCGAAACAGGTTTTAACCTGTGAATGCCTAAAGTGGACTGACAGCATGGACACCCTCCCTGATCAGAAACTTAACAGCTTATGAAGCGTTTTTCTTTACAGAGAGACACATTTCTTTCTCGTTCTTTCTCTCTCTCTCTCTCTCTCTCTCTCTCTCTCTCTCTCTCTCTCTCTCTCTCTCCTGATTTTTTGAGGTTGCACAAAAATTTTACAATATTATTTCACACCAATGGATTTTGATGGAGCGTTCTTCACTTGGTGGGAAAGAAAGCTTAAATTCAAAGATACTTTTCCCATAAAAAAAATAGTGCAGATGTTTGATAATGCAATAGGTGATATAGCTCCTTTCATTTTAGCTATCTGGAAATTTAAAGACAACCTTGAAAAGCAATTATTGCATATATGTTTATGTTAATGAGCTGAATATTATCATTTCTCCTATCCTTCAGCTGGCTTTTATATCTATTTATATCATTTTGGATTGTGATTAGCTATTATTATTATTATTTTTGGGATTATAAAGTTTGTTTTAATACATAGATTTTAAGAATTTTATTAAAAATATAGCTAGCATACAATATTATATTAGTTTCAGGGGTACACCATAGTTATTCAACATTTATATAACTAAAGAAGTGATCACCATAATAAGCCCAGCAACCATCTGACACCGTACCACTCTATCACAATATTATTGGCTGCATTCTCTATGCTGTACATTACATCCCCATGACTTATTTGTTTTATACCTGGAAATTTGGACCACTTATTCCCCTTCCCCTCTTTTTCAATATATCAATTATAGTTGACACTCAATATTAGTTTATATTACTTTCAAGTGTATAGCATAGTGGTTAGACATTTATATAATTTAAGAAGTAATCCCTCTGACTAGTCAAGTACCCACCTGGCACTGTACATACTTGTTATTACCATATCATTGACTATATTCTCTATGCTTTACTTTTTTGTAACTCCCAAATGACTATTTTATAACTACCAATTTGTACTTCTTAATCCCTTCCCCTTATTTCACCACACCCTCCAATCCCCCTCCCATCTGGCAACCATCAAAATGTTTTCTGTATCTCTGAGTTTGTTTTGGCTTTCTTTGTTAATTTTGCTCTTAGATTCCACATATAAGCAGAATCACATTGCATCCGTCTTTCTCTGTCTGACATAATCCACTCAGCACAGCACCCTCCAGGTCATCCATGCTGCCAAAGATGGCAAGAACTCATTCCCATCCATGGCCAAGCTATATTCCATTGTATATATGTACCGCCTCCTCTTTATTGATTCTTCCATCAATGGACAGTCAGGCTACCTTCACATCTTGGCCACTGTAAACAATGCCTCAGTGAACATATGGATGCACATGTCCTCTAAAAGTAGCATTTTGGGTTTTCTTCAGATAAATATCCAGAAGTGGAATTACTGGATCCTTCACTGTCTCTTCTTATTGCTTTTTTTTTTTAATTCTATTTTGTCTGGTATAAGTATTGCTACCCCAACTTTTTTTTCTTTTTCACTTCCATTTTCATGAAATATCTTTTCCATCCCTTTTCTTTCTGTTTGTGTGTATCTTTCCACCTGAAGTGAGTCTCCTGCAGGTAGCATATATAAAGGTTTTGTTTTCTTATCCATTTAGCCCTCTTAAGTCTTTTGATTGGAGCATTTAATCCATTTATATTGAAAGTAATTGTTGATAGATATGTATCTATTGCCATTTTATTATTCATAATTTTGATTTTTTTTTCCATCTTAAAGAAGCCCCTCTAGCATTTCTTGTAATACTGGTTTGGTGGTGATGAACTCCTTAGCTTTTTCTTGTCTGGGAAGATTTTTATCTGTTCTTCGATTCTAAGTGATAGCTTTGCTGGGTAGAGTAATATTGATTATAGGTCCTTACTTTTCATTACATTGAATATTTTGTACCAATCCCTTCTGGCCTGCAAAGTTTCTGTTGAGAAATTAGCTGAAAGTATAATGGAAACTCCCTTATAAGTTACTAGTTGCCTCCTCTTGCTGTTTTTAGGATTCTTTCTTTATCTTTAACCTTTGCCATTCTAATTATAATGTGTCTTGGTGTGGGCCTGTTTGGGTTCATCTTGTTTGGGACTTTCTGTGCTTCCTGTCTATTTTCTTCATTCGGTTAGGAGAGTTTACAGTCATTACTTCTTCAAATAGGTTCTCAACCTCTTGCTTTTTCCCTTCTCCTTCTTGTACCCCTGATCGAATGCTGTTACACTTGATGTTGTCCCAGAGGTCTCCTAAACTCTCCTCATTTTTTGGATTCTTTTTTCTTTTCGCTGTTCCAATTGGGTCCTTTCTGCTACATGCCTTCCAAATCACTGATTCGATCCTCTGCCTCATCTAGGTTGCTGGTGGTTCCTTCCAGTGCATTCTTCATTTTAGTTATTGCATTCTTCACTTCAGACTGGTTCTTTTTTTATGGTTTCTGTGTCCTTTCTTATGCTTGCTATCTCTTTGCTGAAGTTCTCATTAAGTTCCTTGAACATCCTTATAACCATTGTTTTGAACTCTGTATCTGATACTTTGCTTATCTCCATTTTGCTTAGTTCTTTTTCTGGAGTTTTCTCCTGTTCTTTCACTTGGGACACATTTCTTTGTTTCCTCATTTTGGCTGCCTCTTTGTGTTTGTTTCTATGTATTAGGTAGATCTGCTATGTCCTCAGTCTTGGCGAGTGGCCTTATGTAAGTAGGTGCCCTGTGGGGCCTGGCAGTCTCCCTGGTCACCTGTACCAGGAGTGTCCCTTGTGTGGTTGTGTGTGTTCTCCTATTGTAGTTGAGCTTTGATTGCTGTTGGCACATCAGTGGGTGGTATTGACGCTCAGGCTGACTGGCTGAGAGGTTTGGCCACATCCACTGTTTATGGGCTGCTGTACAGAAGGCTTATCATACTGAGTGGGATTCGCCCCAATGGGCTCTGGTGCCTGATGAGACCACCCTTTGTGCGTGCCACTTGTGGGGCTAATTGGGCAGTGCTCTGTTGTGGTCTGAAGCAAACTTCCAAATATGTTCGTTCAGGGGCCTCTTGGGAGGTCTCCGGTGCAGACCCAGGTCAACCACTGCCTGTGACTAGCCTGGGCCTACCTAGTAGCAGCTACAAAGTGATTTGCAATTGTTTGCTGCCTGTGCTAAACCTGGAGGCACATGGGAGAGGTCATACTTGGAACCAAGAACAGCTGCCTCCAAAATACTAGGGCTGAAGTAACTCTGCAAAAAGCCAGGACACCTGGAGATCTGCTGCCACCTGCTGGCTCCCTTAAGGTTCAGCCACGATAGAGCCTCATGTGGTACTTGAGTGGGCGAGGCAGGGTGTCAGGAAGTCACTAGAAGTGGGAAGAGTTGTGGTCACCAGGTTAGTATAGAGTTTGGTTGGTGCCAGTACTGAACCTGGAAAGACTCAGCGAAAGTCTGAGAGCACACTGAGGCCAGTCACTACCCCCCCAGGGGCCTTTGGACTCCGATAGTTTTTCAGTAAAGAGTGCAATGCAGGAATGGCTGACTGCTCGAAGTGAAATTGCCCCCAGCAGTGTGGGAGTTGGTTGGGGTGGGGTCCCAGTGAGTCAGCAGAGAAAAGCAGTGGAGCTCACCAGGCCAATCAGATTCAGATTTGGCCTGTGGGGGCGGGATCAACACAGGAAAGATGGTGCCTGCTTGCTGGCTGTGTAGGAGGCTGACCCCTTACTGTAAAAATGCTGACTGTCCTCCAGTTCTCCTCCTGAAGCCACACACCTCAGTCTGCCCCCTGTATGTCTCTGAGGCCCCTCAAATCACCGTCCCACCGCTGGAGCTCAAGGTGAGTGCCTGGCTGTTTTAGAGGACAACTGAATTCTCATAGCTTTCTGTCCCACCCGAAGGTTGGAATTCTCACTGTTTTTCACAGTCAGATGTTGTGTGGGCTCCTCTCCCAGCACCAGGACTCCAGGCTGGGGAACCTGGTGTGGGGGGTTTGGGTCCCTCCCTCCTCTGGGGGGAACTTTCGTAGCTGAGATATCCCTCTGATTCTCAACCACCACAGGCAGATTTGGGGCCAATTTGCATCTCCACCCCTCCTACCTGTCTCGATGTGGCTTCTACTTTATATTTTTAATTATAGGAATTCTGTTTGGCTAGACTTCAGATGGTTCTCCAGGTTGATTGTTCTATAATTTAGTTATAATTTTAATGTGTTCATGGAAGGATGCAGGCACAGGGTTTATCTACTCCGCCATCTTGGATCTCCCATTTTTAATTTGCCCTTATATTTTGGTCACGTTTTAAGCCACTCAGAGTCCTTAATAGGATAGGATAATATCACATAGTGCTTAAAGGTATGGCCATGGAGACTGGTGTGCCTGGATTTGAATCCCAACTCCTCCACATTCGAGTTGCAGGAATTTGTGTTAATTCCTTAACCTCTCTCCTCCTCAGTTTGGTGTTTTTTTTAAATCTGAAAATTGGAATAATAATATCTATCTCATAGGCTGTAGGGTATTAGATAGCCATATTATAAGTAAATAATGTATCTAGAAGACATCAGTTAATTATACATTTTTAAAAGTCATAATTCATTTCATTATTAATTGAATCTGATCAGGGGTTTATCGAGTGGTGGGCTACTTCCTTTATGAAACAAAGCCCATGGTGCTGAACAGACAACGTATTTGGTTAGGTTACCTGCAGTGCACGACCATGGGGCCTTTGCTCTTGGTAGCTTGCTGTCGGACCACATGTACAAACTGTAGGATACTTTCTGCAGCATTGGCTGTGGGCACACCGTGATCAGGCCATACAGTGTAGTTAAAATGCATCACATCCTGCATCTCATCAGCCTTTAGGAGAAAAAGCCAAAACAAGCATTAATCTCTCAGTCCACTATCAGGATGCTCAGGCCTCCACGGCAGCTCATTAGTGGCGTAAGACGGTAAAGCCACATTCCACTCCTGATCTGTATACTTCCCTTTCCATCTCTGAGCATTATGTCTGCCACAAAGCAGAACCTGAAAAAAAGAATACTAACTGTCTAAAACTTCAAATAGTAAAATAAATAGGCGAATCCATGCCTGTGTGGAGATAAGAGCTTAAGAAAATTAGGATTTGCTTCCTGGCTCCACTATTTAGCAATTGCACCGGCTTTGGCCAATGAAGGAAACACTGTGGAAGGTACCATTGGTGCTCCCTTGGGTCCCCTTTGCCAGGCTGGTGCACCCTTTTCCCAGCAGCTGCCAACAGCAGATAGCTGTGCCCTTCTCAGAGTTGTTATCCACTCAGGGGAGCTGCCTTGCTTAAGAGGTTGTGTTCTCCTGCTCAGGGTAGGCCACAGCTAACCAGTGACTGATACTGGAGTCATTTTGGTTGCCCAGAAATGTTCATGAAAATAATCACTCTTTTCAAAGGCTGATGGCAGGCTTAGCACAAGGAGTTGAACATTGCAGGAGATTATATGTGTGTGTGTGTGTGTGTGTGTGTGTGTGTGTGTGTATGCACATTCTAATACAGTTGATCTGAAAATGTATCCAGCTAAAATATACAAAATTGTTCAAAAATAGGAAACACTTAAATTGTCATTAGTCTCTGCAGCTGCAGTCTTAGTATCAGGGTGATCCCTGTCAGCTGAATAGCAAAATAGCAAGACATACGTCAAGGAAGCAAACAAGTTACAGTTGTTTTTTTGTCTCCATTTCTTACTCAGTTCCTGCTAAATTTCAAGTAGTTGAAAGCAACAAATTGTGTGTTATGGTCATTTTTCTCCTTTTTGTTAAATGAGAAAACTCTTTTGTTATATCTTATTTAGCCATTCCCAAATTTCCCTTACCCTGCTTTCTTCATTTATGTAATTTTATCTTGTTGTATTCTAAAGTTTTCCACATATCGACATGGAGGGAATCAAAAAAAGATATAAACGAAAAATGAAATAAATAGAAAAATGTGTTCATTAGCACAACACAATCTTCTTTTAGAAATTTAACGTTTATGGCAGACCTTAAATTTAGATTCTGTCTGTTTATGACTGAAAAGGGGCACTCTGGGACCAGGTGCTTGTAGCTACTGTATAAACACCTTACCAGAAAACACTATTATTCAACTTTTTATTCTCATCATCTCCAGCCTTTCACATTGTTGTCATTGAAAGGTTAGTGTAAGTAACGAGAACGTGTCCCTCCTCAGTCAGGCCTGATGAGCAATGATTCACTGTGTCTTTTATTGCCCTGGGCTAATCTGAGATGGAGCAGTGTAGTCATTTTCCCCCTCTCCTCAGGCCTTTCTGGCCATCCATTTCATCCACACCATTCTCGATGACATGGGAAACAAATACATTAAAAGTGGAAGTTTTCTCTTGAAGGTAGCAGTGTTGCAAAGCCTGAAGTACTCATGATCTTATATGATGATGGGTTGGTCTCCTGACACCTGAGGGTCACCTCAGCATGAGAACAGCACCTGAACTTGTGCTTCATGACTTACATAGTTGATCCGGAAATGTCTACAGGCCCAGTCATCCTGCTCTTCCTCTGAGATCATTTCCACATTGATGTCTCCATACGCTATGGGTTCTTCTGTGAAGGGCCAGTAATGGTCGCATTTCACCTAGGGTGAAAGGGAGACAACATTTGCAAACAAACAGGCGAGGGAAGAAATGAAGTCTGCGCTCACTGAAGGAAAACAAAAGTACTTGCGTCTGAAGAACTGTGTATGATTATTGTGAGGATGAAAAATGAAGCAAGGAGAACAGTTTCTGGTGTACAGTGCACACTCGATCCATGGTAGTGTCTGGTATGGGATTTGCTAAGTGGAAGACAGCCCCGTTAGGTACTTACCCTCCTTTTCTCATTGCACTGAGTGAGCATGACTATAATCTGAGACTTCTGTTGTAGGACCATCTTCCAAAAGTCATTTCTGGTTTCAGGCAGTGGCCCCTGTGTGGCGATATACTCCTGGGGTGAGTTGTACCCCTGAAAGATAGGTGACAAAGTTCTCACCTAAGGAGCTACTGTCAACACCAAATGGTATTCCACACAAATAAGAACAAACTGAAAATTTACTGGTGATAAACCTGGTAAAGGAGCACACACTTGTGTAATGTATTCTCCTTTTTTCATGGAAAAGGCCCGCAGAGTAACTGACGGTATAGGTCTGTGTGATTTTAAGCACGGTTCTTGGAAAACCTATAAAATCACACTCACACTTTTTTTTTTTTTAATGATAGCAACCACTATCTTTATTGGTATTTTAAAAACACAGTTGCTTAGGTGAAACCCTTTGAGTTGCTGAAAATATTTAAACCCAATTATATCTTTCACATAATTATCTCCTTTCACTTTCACTAGTCCTTTACAAAGACATGTGAAAACTGATCTCTAGGCTCTCTTCCCCTTCCCCCATTCTTTATTTTAAAATAGAATAATGGAAACTGGTTCTTTAGTAGGAGAATGGCTCTCTTTTTGACTGTTTGACACATTCCTATAGCCCTAATGGTCTTCCTCTGCCTGGGCTGGAATTTAGATGTCTGATTTTTATTTTTATTTTTGTTATTACTTTTTTACTTACAGGAATGTAGTTGGCATTGATGTAATCTGCTCCTTCATCTTCATTCATGGAGATTAATCTTACTCGGCTAAAGTCATCTGTAAAGAGTAAGAAAAAAATTATTAAAATCAGAGTGGAAGGAAGAATTGCCTTGATCCTCTCTTCCCAATATCAAGTAAAATTGTCAGTGATAGAGTAGGTAGATCAAGTTTACTTTACCTAGATATTTTACCCATACCCCAATCTTAGTTTCTTGCTTAAACAAATATATAAATATCTCTCAGTCACTTTTTCTCCCACTAGCTCTTCTGTCCTTGGAAGTATTATCTCCATGTTTTGGGGGGAGATTGTGCAAAATAGTTACAGAAACTAAAATTCCAGTAGATTGTACAGAAGGCTACAGAATGCAGCCTAAATATCAGATTTTCATTTCACGTAGGGACGTCTAGAGAATTCACTACCTCTGGGAAACACGGAAGAGAAGATGGAGTTACGTGGGTTTTTTGTAAATAGACTTCGAATAAGAAAATTCAGTTCTGAAAAGTGCACAAATGTAAGGTGTTATAATGATAATAGTAATTATCATTAGTATTTTCTCAAGAAATCTTATTAAGGAAAAAGTTCTCTTTCTAGAGCTTTTTCAGTTTCCTTCTTTCTACTTTTCCATTCTTTCTCAGCTTCCTCTAGAGTGTAGCAGAAAGGAAAGTTAAATCTATATTAAAATATATTTTAATTGTCCTGTTAGTAATCTATATTACTTTTTCTTTGAATATTGCTTTTATTACAAAATACTAAGCAACAACAGAACTTGCCAGAAGTTAGAAAGTGGAGGCATTTTAACACATTACATCTCCTTCCCATTTGCCTCCTTTTGTTGTCAATGAATTAACTGAAAATATTGTATGAGGACACAAATTATCGTATCCCTAATTTTGTTAAGACTTTTTGATATCCAATGGGCCAAATGGTCACTGTTTCCTCTTCATATAAAATTCATTTAAAAGCATAATAATTATATCTTCCTACATACGATAAGATCTAATGGCATGAAAGAACAAATATGATCAATGCAATCACGGAGATAGCCTTGAGGATCCAGACCACAATGGGTCTGGCCAGAGATTGGTGAAGTTGATTAATTTGCAATAACAGTCCTTCAACCTTTGAAAGACATGAATCAGATTGGCACTATTGACCATCTTACATGGTAGAATGTTTGTGTAACGATTTTTACATCGGTTCAGTGGTAGGTCTGCAGCAAAGTGGGGAATATCCAGTCCAATCAATTTCAACTCCTGTAAATGACAGAGAATAGATTTGAGATTTCTGTGCATGGTGTGGATTGGATTATCACTCACACTGGATTATTCTAACTCTGCCTGTAATAGAATTATCACCACCACCGCCACGCCCCCCCATACCCCACCCTGCCCCTTGCCGTATGATGTTGCAGTAGCTTCCTTTTGTGATCGGGTGTACTTCTCCACCCCAGTCTTGTCTACTTGCTTTGGCCAATGAACTTGGGTAGAACTCATGTTCAATCAGAAATTTTAAATATGCTTGTTTAGTTTAGTTTGTCCTCTTGTGCTTCTGCCATCTGCCATGAAAAGAACATGAGCAGAGAAGCTGCGAGTCCCTAAATGAGGAGACGCATGGGGCAGCCATGACCCTGACCCATGGATCAGAACTGTCCCTGCTGCCCCACAGACCCACAAGTGAGAAAAATAAATGTAAGTCACTGAGATTTTAAGGTTGTTTCTTAAATAGAATTATTGCAGTCATAGCTGACTAACATAATACAGTAGTACCTTGGATAGCTTGGTGATCATTTGGAGAAGGTGTATAACACTGTTAAGTGTAATAACACTCAGGGTGTGTAAAATTTGTAACAAAATTTATTTCAGATTTTGGGAGGTATAGGGTAACTGAAGTTTATGCAGTTTGCATAAATAGTTCCTATTCTGTGAGGAAATGTAGGTCTTTCTCTTGCAGTCAATGAGCCTTAGAAAAGGTAGTAGATGAGAGAGTGAAGAGCAAGGGAGGAGTATTTTCCATGTAATGAGACATAGGATTGACAGTCACTAAATATATGCAAAGAAACCTCAAAACTAAGGATGAATCAGTGGGTAAGCAAACCCTTCAGTGAAACTAAAAGAACATCCAGATATCTGCCTGCTTGTGTGCAATCAGTACACTTACAAATCCTATTATCAGAAGATGCACTGATAGGAAAATTTTTATATAAACAGACAATCATCATACTTCAACAAGGTTATGTTACTGGAAAAGGGGGTTTCTAAGCTGCTCTGCCATGTGTCTGATAGGAAACAAGGGGTTGAAGTCAGGCCATGTGGATTTCTCCGGGGGCATTTTTCACACGCAGTTTATGTGAATGAATGGTGTTCCCTGGAATTGTACAGTGCACAAAAAGTGTACAAATGCAACAGATTTAGTTAAATTCCTGGACAAATTTGAGGGAAATAGTAAACAGCATATGGGTATATAACCATCTACAAGTGGGATTACCTGTATAGTATGCACTTTTCTATAAGACCATTAAGTGAGGCAGTAAACACTTATAAATTTTACTTACTCATATAGGATATAAATATTACGAACAAATTTTACTCTTCATAATTCCTCCCCATTATTACTTTAATCATAAGCTGAAGGACTATCTCCCAGGGGGAAGACTTTTTGAGAGCCTGAAAAAATTTTGAAGGGAGTTGGAGATATTTGAAGGTGTTATGAGAGATTGAAGAGTGGTATCTCTTTTGTGCCCTTTGTGTCTTGATTCAAGTGCTCTTTGCAAAACATATGCTTTAGAGATCTAGTCCCTGGGATGTCTGCTGCTTCCCCATAAAAGTTCCTTGGTAGCTCAGTGTGCATGCTTAATGGCATTGGGATGGAAGCCTGCAGTCAACACGGAGGAGCCGACCTAAATTGCTCAGATTGCTCTCTTCCTCTGCTTCTGCATCACTTGACTTTGCAAGCTCACAAAATCTCAAGCTCTTTGGCCTAAATTGAAGTCCATTGTAAAGATAAACTACGCTAACTTTGATCCTCAATTCACGAAATTAGAAGTTTTTCCATCTTAGGCAAAACCTTTGCTTGCCAAATGCCTTTAAACAGAAGCGTGTCACTGTTACTTTATTACTGATTTTTCCATTAATTTATTTATTTATTTGTTTATTTTTATTTTTTTGTAGAGGGCAGTGTCACTGGCCCTCATATGTGGGATCCGAACCGGAGTCCTCTGGTGTCCAAAGCCAGCTCTTAACCATCACACCACTCAGCCGGCCCTGGTTTTTCCATTTTAAAGGGTTTGCAAAGACTGATTATACTGGTCTTATAAGAAATGAAAACTTAGTCTTAACAATTTAAACCAAATTAGTGTTATTTTTAGGTTAGTTCCTTTTGGCAACTATAAGCATATTTAAATGATGCTTCAATTGCTTAAAATATTTTGGAAATCTACATCCTTTAGAGAATGCCTTTATAGAGAGTGTGTCACAACATCTGACTTATTTTGGTGTGCCACCTATAAGCTGTAGGGTCTTGGAAAAGTAGTTAAAGTCTCATTACCATCAGTTTAATTATTTGTAAGATAGGGCTAATCACGTCTCCATACTTCACTGGTGGATAGTGACTATCAAATGGAGTGTTTAAACTTAACATTTGATAACGGTTGTAAAATGCTTCTTTATGATTCCTTGTTTGTTTTGCTTTGTGTAGCTTCATAATTTCTCCTTCCTTTGCCATTTGTACTAACGGACCAAAAACTCTCTCCCTAAGTCCCCAGCTTTGAGGACAGACTGATAAGCCACAGGAAAAGGCCTCAGATATGGAAAAAAAAAGAAACAGTGGAAACAGATTGAGGCTGAGAGCTGGAGCACATATGGAAACTGACTAGCTGATAGAACTTTAATTGTGCATTGCTTCCCTGCTGTAAAAGCCCTAAATTGATAAGAGAGGTTTAATTGGCTGAACACTGTAAATGCAAATTGCCAAAGCAGAATTACAAGCAAAGCAGGAACTGCATCTATACACAAAATGCCTTGCAATCCTTTGTAATCCAGTCTGTCACTAAGTGGGAAATCGAATACAAAGTTTCAGTTCAGTAGCTTTGCAGTTATTTTCTTCCTAACCATGTAGAATCTCCAGAGGCTTAAATCTTCAGAAAGTCAGAGCATGAGGGAATGGCCTGAAACCAACATAAATCATTTTTTAAATTTTCTTTTGCCAGTTATGTTTCTAACATAATTTATCATCGTGTTGTTTTTCTAGGCCACGTAGTCATCCATAAGAATGGTGGTACCCCAAAAGATATGTCTACATCCTAATCCTCAGAAACCTGTGAATGTGTCCTTATTTGGAAAAAGATGTAATTAAGTTAAGGGTTATGAGATGCGATCATTTTGTATTATCCAGGTAGGCCCTAAATCTGATAACAAGTGTTCCTATAAAAGAGAAGAGGGGGAGGTCATATAAAGATGGAGGCATATGAGTAGATCTGAGATATGCAAGCCAAAAAATGCCTGGAGTCACCAGAATTGAAAGAGGCAAAAAAGGAATCTTTGCTAGAGCCTTTGGAGGGAGCATGGCCCTGCTAACACTTTGATTTTGGACTTCTGGTCTCTAGCATTGTGAGAGAATAAATCTCTGTTGTTAAAGTCACCAAGATTGTGGAAATTTGTTATGGCAGCCCTAGGAAAATAATACAGCCACCAAGGCCCAATGGCAGTGTAGGTCATGTGGCTGTGTTTGAAGCATGAATGTCTTGAAAAGCAAAGCACAAATATATGCACTGTATTAAACTGCTAGGACTGCCATAACAAAATATCATAGGCCGGGTGGCTTAAACAACAGAAATTTATATCTCATAGTTGTAGAGGTTGAGAAGTCCAAGAACAAGGTGCTGGCAAGGTAGGTTTCATTCCGAGGCGTCCCTTGGCTTGTAGATGGCCACCATCTTGCTGTATGTTCCCATGACCTCTGCTTTCTGTCCTGGTGGAGGGGATGGGAAGGAGAGAGCATGCTCTTTGATGTCTCCTTGTATAAGGGCACTAATCCCAGCACGAGGGCCCCACTCTCGTGACCTCATCTATAATTGCCTCCCAAAGGCCCCGTCTCCAAATACCCTCATGCTGGGGAGCTGGGGCTTCAACATATGCATTTGGGGGCACACCTTCAGTGTACCATCATCTTCTGAGAAGAGCACAGCTGTATTCTGGCTTCAGTGTTAGGAAGTGATAAGTGCTTGATGTTTGCTTTCACATTGTTGGACGTTAGAGTCCGACGAGCTAGATTACTAGACTACAGAACAAGTGAGGAGAAACCATGTGGCCGGTGCTGTTGACAAAGAAGGTTGCATCTATGGCAAGTAAAAGTCCAATGGGATTAGGCAATGTCCGGTTATGTTTCTGGTAAATACAAAGGGAGAAGAAAGGATTTATAACAAGGTGTTTAGTGAGGTTCCGTATTAGTTTCCAATTCTGCCATAACAAAGTAGAATAAGCTGGGTGGCTTAAAACAACAGAAATGTATTGTCTCACAGCTCTCGAGGCTAGGAGTCTGAGATCAGCGTGTCAGCAGGGACATATACCCTTGTAACCTATACGGGACTCCTTCCTTGGCTTATTTTTAGTTTCTTTCCAGCTGGTTTGTTGGCAATTTTTGGTATTCCTTCACTTGTAGCTGTGTCTCTCCAATCTCTTCCTTTGTCATCACATGGCAGTCTCCCTGTTTGCCTCTTTATCTTCACATGGCTGTCTTTCATAAGGACACCAGCCATATTGAATTAAGAGTCCACTCTACTTCAGTATGACTTTATCTTAACTAATTACATCTGCAAATGACCTAATTTCCATCTAAGGTCACATTCTGAGGTACCGAGTGGTTAGGGATTCGACATACTTTTAGGGGGACACAATTCAAGCCTAACAAGTACTATAATGGAAGAATGGGGTGCAATAGTGATGGCAGTCTTGGGCAGGTGATGAAAGATGGCTAAGAAGAAAGTCAACCCCAAGAAAGTCTAGGAATAGCTCTAGGATGAGGTTCAGGGGCAACACTCCAATCACTGAACCAATTACTAGTACAGGCATTTGGAAACAGAGACTAAACCTAGGAAATTAGAAATAAGAGGAAAGAAAACTCAGGCCTGGGAATAATGTAAGACCCCTGGTGTGAGAACTGTGGGAGAGGGCTCTAGATAACTTATTTCAACAAGGACAGCAGGTAGGTCTTTAGTGAACTAGACTGAAATACAAGTAAAAACAGCTACAAATGCGAGCTATTACCAGAAATCAGAGGTCATCTCTTGTGAGCTGTGTGGAAAGTAATATAGTATTGTTTTTATCTTTGCATACATATTTCTGAACAAAGATGATGAGGGTTTTCACCAGCTTCCCAATCAAACACAAAGCACAGAAATTAATGGCAGAATGAGCATGTCTCATGGGCTCTCAAATTTCAAGCTGTAAAATCTGGCTTTTCAAAACCTTTTCCACATGAAACATAAGAAATGAGGAATATTATAGACTCTAATCCCTGGGTCCCAAACTTCCTTAAGAAAAGATGCATATTTTTGTTGAAAGGATAATCAGTTTTTCTAGTAGATTCAAAGTCAGATGCAGAGTGAAAGAGGAATTTATTCAGTAAATGCAAATTAGCCACTTTTATAGTTTCATGTATGAGTTACAGTTATATTGGTAATATATGTAAATACAGATATTAGTTTCAATTTGCATAATACTTATCAATGATGTAATTTCTCAATATGAGTGTGATATTTCAATGTCAGAATCAAAATGAATGTAGGTATTAAGCATTAATATAAACAGAACAAATAACAATTCATCTGAATTTAGCTAGACCAGCTGATTCAGCCATCTTAACTAACATTCTCTTGGAGTCCCATTAGAGCAAGAAACATATTTTTTTCCTTAAGCCTCAATTAATGATCAATTTCAAGAAAATTTGAGGGCTGCCATGTGAAAGATCTGACATACACCCTGAAATCAGGTATCAAAGATGCACAATGCATCTTTAAAAATAGATGAGGATACCCTGACACTGAATCTGAGGATGTGGGGGTGGGTAAGGTTGGGAATTGGCAATATCTGGGAACCTGTCAAATGAAAAAGGAAATGAGTCAGACTAGTGGGTCACTGCTGGAGCAAATGTTAGCCCTAAACAAACAATCTGAGCTTGTGATTTCAATAAAGCAGGCTTCCGGAGAGTAATTTGTATTTTCTTAACAGAACAAAGGTGCAAAATCAGGACTTGGCACCAAATAAATTACATACAATGGTAGGTTGAACTAAATCAATGGTTCGCAAATCATATATGACCAATAATGTTCTAAGAACAAAGATATATGAGAAAAAACTTCATAAATTAAAAATACTAAACACTTCTTCAAGTCATGGCGTGATGGTTAACTTTATGTGTCAACTTGGCTAGGCGATAGTGCCAAGTCGCTTGGTCAAACATCAAGTCTCGATGTTACATGGAGATTTTTTTTTTTTTAAGATTTTTATTGGGGAATTGGGGGATGGGGAACAGACAAGTTGCTCTCCTTTTGTTCTTCAGTCTAGTTGTGGAGGATGTTGCTTCACTGGCCCAAGTTGGCACCATCATTGCGCTCTTCCCGGGCGAGGCAGATCAGTCGCTGGCTTCTGGATGGCCGCTCATGGCGGCTGCTGGCTACACACGGTAGCCCATGGCAACCCACTGCCACAGGGGCTGCAGCCTACGCCGTCGCCGGCGACTCACGGCAGCCCAGCTCCAGGTTGAGCTGTTGTTCAGCATCTTAGCTGTAGAGGGCAGTGTCACTGGCTCTCATATGTGGGATCCGAACCGGGGCCCTCTGGCATCCCAAGCCAGCTCTTAACCAACGCGCCACTCGGCCGGCCCTACATGGAGATTTTTTTTTAGATGCAATTAACATTTTTAAATCAGTAGATTTTGAGAAAGCAGATTACCCTCCATAATGTGGGTGGGCCTCATCCAGTCAGTTGAAGCTTTAAGAGAAAAGACTGAGGTCCTCTGAAGAGGAAGGCATTCTGCTTCCAGACTGCCTTCGGACTTGAGCGGCAACATCAACTCTTACCTGGGTCCCCAGCCTGCCCTGCAGATTTCAGACTTGCCATCTCCTACAGTCATGTGACCCAGTTCCTTAGAATAAATCTCTACATCTCTCTTTAAATCCAGTTATCTATCATCTATCTATCATTTATTATTGATTCTATTTCTCTGGAGAATCCTGACTAACACACATAAGCTATAAAGCTTGGATGTATCCTTGTGCCATAGTTAGTCCACTGGTTCTCAATGGAATACTGCTGGCTTAGGACAATTCTTTGTTGTGTGGGACTGTCCCACTTATTGCAGAACACTTAACATCCCTGTCCCTGTACCCATCAAATACCACTAGTAGCTTATTCCCAAGTTATTATGACAACCCAAAACACTCCCACACATCTCCAAACCCCTCTTAGGGAGCTGCCTGGTATTGGCCCAGTTGCAAACCACTGATTTATTTCAACCTACCATAGTATAGATGAACAAACTGAGGTGATGAGAAATTGTGATTTTTCCCCCCAATATTAATTAGTAACAAAATGGTAGTGAGGACCCAGGTTTTTGGATTCCTAGTGTACATTTCTACCTCCTTTATAAATTCTATGAAATAAGCCTAGGTGTGTTCATTTATACATCAAATGTATAAAAGTTCTCAGCATATTATGAACTGATCATTTAGCACATAAAATTTATGACTCTACTTTTTGCATTTTTGAAGCATCTGGGATCTAATCACTTATTGCTTGGTTCTCCCAGTGTTGTCTTTGAAAATAATGCTCTTTTTCTTTGATATAACCATGTGCTTCCAGTAAGAGCTGTCCTGTTCTTATATGATTCTGCTCTCTCTGGCTATGGTTGGTTTGAGTGGATGTCATGGCCCGGCCCAGCCAATCAGAACTCTCCCCTGTGATTTTTTTCAAACTATGAAAAAAGAATGAGAGTCAATAGTTCCTTTTGGAAACTGGGGCAACTATAGGATGTGATACTCTGCGATTGATGGTGGTCATGTTTTCCACTTTGAGAAAGAAGTTGGTTTGCAATGAAAGAAAGTGAGGCCAAGACAGAGAAAGAAGCAGAAATGAGATATAAAAAGAGGAGGTTTCTGCAAGGGTCATCGCCCTGGGTCCAGTCATTCTTGTGACTAAGCTGCTTCCCTACCCTCCTCCTAGTTTAGCCAATCATCCTTTCCTTAGATTATATGACATATGTCATTTTTATTTTTTTTTTACCAGAAAATAACTCACTAATTTTTTTTTATAATGATGCAATTCAGAAGCACAGAAATAGCTACAGTGGGGTTTGATGGCATAAACTAGGAAGTACTCCTAATCCTCCCAGCCAGGGCCGTGGTCTAGTTGTGCCACCAAGGTCACATAATCTTATAGGATTAGGAGGCTGTGGCTTAAGTGAGGCCGAATGTGTACCAACATCATAATTTTCATCACCATCATCAGAATTATCTAGATACTTATTTTTTTCTGAGTTTTGGCTTATTTTCCTCCTTTCATTGATATACTTTTCTGAAAGGCTGTCTTCACCATAGATCTCCAATCCAAATCTAATTTTTCTTCTCTGAGATAAAACATTTGGTGTAGCATCTATGATTTCTTAGGCACCTGCCTGCAATGGATAACTGAGCAAGGCTCTATGCGGAATTTTTCATGACACAGGTAGTCGTTAGGGGTTTTGTATTTGATAGGTATAATTTCTTCTCATGCTTAAGTTCCCTGATAGAATTTCCACATGAGGATTCCTGCTGTTTCTTACAGACCAAAGTTGTCCTTTGGCTGATGGGCAGAAAGGAGAAATAAATATGAATAATGAGGAGAAAGCAGTTACATTCTACAACCTAGTTTTTCACAGAAAAGAGCACCTTTGAGGCGTTTTAAAAAAACTACACTATTTAGAAAAAAAAAACACTTTATCTTTCCCTTTTCCCTGGTTTCCTGGAAGAATGGACCACTGTGTAGAAACCTGAAGAATGTGAGGCCATCCAGACTCTGTTATGTACGGTGAAACATGTAGGATGAAAATCTAAGGACCAGTTTTGGTCCTCACACTGCTGAGATCCTAGACTTACCCATCACCATCTACTCTGACACATGGTCTTGGACTCAAACAAATATGTGTGCTTCAGAAAAGGCAAGTGTTGCCAATGATTCTCTTATACACAAACCATGTGTAACTCTCTTTCCCCAATTTCTCTAAGAAAAGAAGACAAAACTTCACCAAGAAATATTAAGTAGAATGCCAAGAGTCCTATAGCTATAAGAGCCCTACCTCAGACTCTTACATGCCGAGAAGATAAAGGGGTCCATTTCATCCACCCTTGCTGTGGCCTAAGTGGCATGAAAAACACACTAAAAATCCCTGGAAAGTAAAATTCCTGTTTTAGATCTCCGTCCTCAGCTTGCTTTCTCCTGCACTCTTGATCACCTTGGTTTTCAGCGATGGCTTCTCCTATAACCATGTTTGTTCACCCCAGTATCTGCATCTCCTTTTCCTTCATTTGTGCCACCCAGGCCCTGACCTAACTAAGGGTTGACAGCCTATCTCTGTACCAGCAGATTAGACACCCCTGAGCCCAATTGTCATACTGCTCATTATGCAACCACAACACAAGCACTGCCCAGTAAGCAGGAAAATGATGCCGATATGAACCTGCCAATTCCTATGCCCTATCTGCCACAGGAGGCGGAAACTACTTTATTCACTCACCTCAAATTGGAGAGAAAATTTGTAGTCAGAATCTTTGGCCATATCCTTGATGTAGGCGTCAAAGTCATCCAGTTGAACTGGGCTTTGTTGAACAAAAAGAAATGCATGTTTAAAAAATGCTGTTGGTTAAGTATTGTGTCTTGTTTAACACCATACTTCTCAAACATGAACAATTTTCTTGGAGAGAATAGAAGTTTTACTTCTTAAAGGTTAGCACTTTCTTTCTTTCTTTCTTTCTTTCTTTCTTTCTTTCTTTCTTTCTTTCTTTCTTTCTTTCTTTCTTTCTCT